ACTTGCAGTGAGCATCACACGTGTAACTGAAATAAGCACTGGTATTTAAAATGGTTTGTGGTGAGCCTGGAGCTGAACAGCCATGTCACAAGGATGGAGAAACGAGTTGTGTTCTCACCGATACTAAAATGCTGTTCCAGGGGCAGACGGGCCCAGCTCGCTGTGAATTGGCAGCTTGGTTCATTTCCTTGTGGCGGCGGGCACCTTCTCAGAAATTTAAGCTTCCAATTTAAAAAAAAAAAAAGAGGCCTCTTCATTCTTACAGTTCAAAGGTAACCTTCCCAGCAGGCAGCCTGAGCTGGTAGCTGGGTGCCATTCTGCTGATCCTCTATGTGGGCTGTTCATGCCAAAATCTGATGGCTGGAAGATAAACAACACGTTCCCTGTGAAGTCCCCACTTGTGGCAGTGACATGCTCAGGTGTGAACCCACCCCGTGCACGCCGGAGCTTGGCGTTTCACCTTGGATGGGACTGGGGCAAGGCTGGGACGAGGAAAGTGTTGCCACTTACTTTGGTCCCAGCGCTATCTGTGGGTGTAATTTGCAGTCGCTTCACAAAATCTCTGGTGCAGACTGAGGTGCATCACAGAAAATAGGCTTTCTCTTATCTCAGGTGTTGTTTTTGCCTGACTGACTCGGATCGTAACCCCCTCAGGGCAGGAACCGGGTCTTTCATGTGCTTTTGAAGTGCCTGGTGCACGCACCGTGTTTAATCATTAGTTACTATTTGGTCTTGATAGGTGGTGGTTTGCTTTTACTTCAGCCTGGAAGTGCTGAACTCTCTTCCTGGAAGCGTTGGTTACCACAGCCAGGCTGCCCCGCTCCTGAGGGGGGGAACGGGGCCTGGTGCGTTTGTGCCTGCGGGAAAGCTGTGGGGCTGGCAGCGGAGGCAGGTCCCCGGCAGGGCCACGGGCACGCATCCCACCCTGGCCTGGGCTCCGCAGGGCCCCTCGATGGGCAGAGCCGGCCCCGGCGGCCGGAGGTGGGTGCTGCGGGGGCCCTCCCTGAGGAGAAGCCCGGGCTCTTCCCTGAGAGGGGAGCCGGGGCCCTC